TTTTGCCTTAGCTCACTAAGTAAACCATTCAGGTCCTAATAGCAAGTCTGTAATGGAAACCAATGATACATAATTTAATACATTTTCCTCCTTAGTGATGTTCTTCAGCAACCTAGCAGTTGTCATTGCTGTGACATGAGAAACATCAAGTTAAAAAGCAGTGCGGTGTTTAAAAGTACAGCACAGAATCCATGGATTTAAGGGCCGGCTTAAACGCAGAACTCATGCAAAGGTCTCTTTCTTTCAACACAAAGAGGCTCAAAGGTTGCAAATATTTTTTGATACAAGATAAAAATTAACATCTCCTTCCCCCAGCTGCTTTCCCTCTCCACATAGGGACTCAGCATGGGTACCCATAAATCGTCTGTTTCAAGGGGGAAAATGCTTGAAAGTTACTCCAAGTATCAAAATAACCTATAGCATGGACCTCAACTGTGGTTTGGGGCCCTTGGCAGGTTCAGGAGTTTCTTAGAAGGGAGTCCCACTATTTTTTTAAAAAAAAAATATGGAAGTCTAACTCAGACTTTTGAGTGTTAACACAAAATTGAAATCATCAATTGCACTAATTCATTTAACATATTAGGGGGTCATGGTACCCATTTGTAACCAATGGCATACACGGTAAATGTTAACTCTACTACACCATTCCTCCTATTCTAGCAGCTGCCTTCAGAGAGTAGTTTCCTTACACACACAATTAATACTATTGTACATACTGTATCTCCTTGGAACATATTTTGACAGTGTGATGAAATGTTGAGCAGGAAGTTTTATAATAAAACAAGGTTTGAACAGCATTAGTAACAACTCAGGTTTATACAATACCACAGCTGGCAGCATTTATTCATTAATTACTGGAACACATGGAACCTATGCATAGGAATTTCAAATGTCAGCTTCTAAATAATTGGTCCTAAAAATCCATTCTCTAGTTTTATTTCTTTTTACATCCTAGTCTGGCTTATACCAAGCTTTGGTATTTGCCTAGTGAAAAATCATTCTAAGCAGACTCAATGGGTAGGCCAATTTCCCTTAAGGGTTAGATGCCTCTCCCTTTTTTCCTATCCACCTCTTTATGGTAAAATCCATCTAAAGAGCCTGAAGAGTTTATTAGAAGGAAAAATGAATCTAAATGTAAGTGAATTAAGTGCTTGATATCTTTCTCTCCCAGGAGAAACTTTCCATAGAAGTACCCTAAGGTAATAAGTTTAGTTATGTGGAAGTAAACAATGCAGAGCAGGAATATAAAATATATAAAAGGTAAAGGTTCCCCTCACACGTTATGTTATATGCGTCGTTCCTGACTCTAGGGGGCGGTGCACATCTCAGTTTCAAAGCCAAAGAGCCAGCGCGTCTGAAGACGTCTCTGTGGTCATGTGGCTGGCATGACTAAACGCTAAAGGCGCACGGAACACTGTTACCTTCCCACCAAAGTGCTCCCTATTTTGCTACTTGCATTTTTACATGCTTTTGAACTGCTAGGTTGGCAGAAGCTGGGACAAGTAATAGGAGCTTACTCCGTTACACGGCGCTAGGGATTCAAACCACCGAACTGCCAATCTTTCTGATTGACAAGCTCAGCGTTTTAGCCATGAGCCACCCTTATATAAAATACAAAATTCACATTAAAATGACATTGAAGATAATTTCTAATTTTAGGTTAAGGCATACAATCATTATTTCTAGCTTTTCTGTTTTAGAATTATGCCCATATCAATGCTGTTTATAAAGGTAGGTGCTTACTAGAATTACCTTGAGGTAAGATGGGTGGCCAATAAATTTTATAAATAACTATATTGTGGAAACTACAAAGCCAGCCACTTTCCAATGGCATATATTTATGGCCATTACGATATGCCATTCAGGTGTTCTAGAAGAGCCTCTTTAAAGGACAAGCACAATCTATTTGGATCATTCAGATGCATAGTTCCTTCTGCTCTGATTATATTGGTTTATGTAAAGGTCTGAAATAGAGGCTCATTAGTCTAAACTGGTGATGTAAGAGCAATAATTTACACAAAAATCGATTTTCCTCTCACAATGACTGTGAGTAAAAAGCATGTAATTAGCAGACCGTTTACTCTTTTAGGAGTTTTCCATATACAGTAATAGTTAACATGTTTTTTACCAGTAGCTGGGATCAAATGACCTTCATGATTGGTCTTTTCATTCAGGAAAACACAATAGAAGGCATATTAAAGAACATTAGTGGGGTGGGGTGTAAAAGCTCAAAGGTGCATAAAATAAATAGAATTAAGAGTTTGAGATCCAGTGCTTCAGGCACAATTCTTAGACCAAAATTATTTTAAAAGAACATGATTCTGCAAAACTTTACAGAAACTTTAAGTCAGACATTGCTACTTCTTCACAATTTCAAAAAATTGTTCTACGTTTATTAGAAGTTCAAAAAGTAGGCATTAAAATGTTTCTGAACTGGTTTTGTTTCCTAACAATGAATATGTTTCTTTTCTTCATCAAGAGCTTCAGAAACAATAAATTTGGATGGGAAAAGTAAATAATTGAATTTGGGTATGTTTCACCCAACTGCTACAAAATATAATCTTATTAAATTCTAGAACCAAGTTTACATTTCCCTTTTTATTACAGCCAACCTCCAACTGTAGTTTTTGAAATCCAAAATATCCTAAAACAAACTACATGTACCCATCTTTTATTTAAAAGGATTCCTCTTCCACCAAAATGGAAATCGGTAAAATCCTGTCCTTTGTTCAGTGGCATTATTCACAGTGTTAAGTCATCTCCCTTATGGCTCTTAGTTGCAAAGCAAACAAATACAGAATAGCTCTCAACAATAAAGAAATTACCATTCTCTGCTATAAACTACCAGGGCAATTTTCAAGCAGCTTACAAAATATCCTTATTGAACCTATGCAAGCAAAGATATGATAGTAGGAATAGCAGAAGCATAACAGCTTAAAGAAAGGACTGTTAAAGATGAAATAAAATCAATCATCTCAATACAATGTGTGTGCTGCCATATAAAAGTAGGTAAATCTCTTTAGGGGATACAACTAACCCATCAGAAACATTGACCTGTTGTCTTGAATCCAATTTGGAAGAACTATGGAATATGTGGAAACATTGATGTGCACTGCTTCTTTTTTGTTCAACAGCTATGACAATTTCCAAGATCCCAGAGTGTAAGGATTAGATAGATAATCCTGAAGATTATTTAGTCCAATCTCAGCCTGATGCAGAAATCCATCAAGCAGCAGCTATGCAATCCAGGGGCAGATGTAACTATTTTTCTGAGCTGCACAGTTGCTACATCTGCATTCTGGTGTGCTGAGACTTTTCTCAAATCAAATCTAAAACACTGCATACACATGTGTTCTGACCCCCCTTCTCCATCCAGGAAAGCCAAAACAGACGTACAAAAGAATGTTTTAATCAGTCCAAGCTCTCGTTGGCTGCAAGCCCAAAATAAACAAAGAGATAAGCTCTCTGNCGGGGATCAAAAGGAAATAAGATCCTGTCTTGTTTTCGGGAAAACATGGTATTTCCTTTATTCTGGAGTTGTCTGTTTAAAAACCGATTATGACATCTCAAAACACACAAGCCTGCAGTTTTAACATACATATTCTCATTGTTATTACAACTACCTATAAAAACTGGCAATGAGAAGCATTGTCATCTATTTCTCACATACTTGTTGCAAGAAAATATCTTAGCCAATAATAGGTGTTCATCTCAAAACAACAAACACCTGCTTCCATTTTTTTAAATCGCAAAGATTTGATCATTGATCTTATAAATTTAAAACCATTAATCAAAATTATGCAATTGAGCAATAATCCCGAGCAAATAAAATCAAAAAGCTTTGTCGAGGCATGTGCAGAAATCTATTTAGAAGCTAATTCAATTATATTTGGGTATAATAATTGTGTGCAGTATGTGAACCAAATAATCAAAACTGACCTCAATGGAGTATCTTCAAGATCAGTGTTCCATAAGCAAAGTGGTGAACAGAGAAAGCTCTTTCCCCATTTTTCATGCAGCTTGAATTGACTTGAAAAGAGCCTTCAAAGGTGACTTCAACATACAGACGCTTGATATGGATAATTATTCCTATTGATAGGTGAATACCATTATTTTCAACTAGTCCTAGAAATGGAATTATTAAAAGCTTCGTGGGCTAAAGCAAGTCATCTCCCTTACGGCTCTTAGTTGTGTTGGAAGTATTTCTGTCCAAACATCGCACTATATTTAGCAAACATCACTTTAGGATTTGGAATTCTGGTCGGCTAACAAAAGCATATTTATTTATTTGCTTATATCCCACTTTCATTATTTTAAAAAACAACAATTCAAGGTGGCAAACATAACCAACACACCTTCCTCCTATTTTCCCCACAACACTGTGAGGTGGGTTGGGCTGAAAGAGATGACTGGCCCAAGGTCACCCAGCTGGCTTTCATGACTAAGATGGCACTTGAAGTCATGGTGTTTGGCTTTCTAGCCGTTGCTTTAATTCCAGACAAAGCCATCTCATTATGTTATTATTGGGAATGAAGTATTTTAACATATTAATGGGTAGAATCAGAGGCCTTTGAATTACATTAATGGCAATTGAGAGATTTGATAAAATGTTCAGAGGCTTTTTGGCTTATGTCGTCTCAAAACACTATTGCTACTTTCTTTCCATGTAGGGACATAGCTGAGTAAGATGGAATTTGAACGAAGCAATTAGGTACAGTATCTGATATTGATAGCAATTGCTGACTTCAGCAGAAGTTTGCTGTGAGTTGAGTCGGGATGCAGGTCTAACAATACAGCTGGAGCTCGTTAGTGCCGTCTTCTGGAAATAAAAGGACAGATGGTGCCACGCCCTGGTTGCAGAAGTCAACGTTCATCATTCGTTCGTGATTTGTCATTCGTTTATGGAGAATTCAGTTCCATTCCTGTTTGAGTTTGTGANCCAACCAGTCTCTCCTCGCCCTACTCAGAGTTGACACCCTGTCCAGGGTCCTCCACCTCCTCCAAGGCCGACTCATAAGACCCCTCACTGTCGGAGTCTGGCAGCAGCTCCAACGGCTCATGCCGGGCCACAACACACATGTATCCCACAACTGCTGCCCCATAACATGCAAAGCAGCCTTAAGAACAGCAACAGGGGTTTAGAGTTATTTATGCCAATGGGAAGTACTTGACCAGCAGTTACAACTAACGGAAGTAGTAAACTATTCCATGTCTCTCCCCCCACCCCCGAGTAGATAGATGTATGATGAGCTGAAAGGAGAGGTTATGCAATATTTGCTAGGTTCCTAAAGCCCTTATAAATTGGCTAGCAGAGAAAAGCATTTTTATGATTCAGATGGACTCAAATTTTATTGAATTGCCTTATGTCCAAGTTGACATGAATATACCATTTTAAAGTTAATCCATAACCTGATCTTATGCACAATCACAAGGATAAAATTGAACCAGAGTCTGGTAGAATCTCCCCCCCCCCCATTATAAATATAAAACAGCTAAGTGTGCTGAATTTGTAAATCAATCCCCTGAATCTGTGGATGTGGCTGCTTTGTTAATGGCCTAGCAAAAATTCCAAGAAAATGCATGCTATATATTAATGATCCTGCCAGACATGGGGATGAGAATGGTAGCCTTTTCAGTGTATAAATTTGGCTATGAACCATTTAATACAAGCCACTACTTAATGCAAAATTGTTGCAGACAAACCATTAAGGCAAACTCTTTAACATGTTGCACTATGTATCTGGCTTGAGGAAATAATGGGACTGACAAAAAAAATTACATCTTTTTTAAGAATGATCAACAAGAATGCCAAAGGTTCCTGTATATCCCCCATGGTAGAACAAAGTAAAAAGTGACAGTGAGATGCAAAGTAAGTTACTGCGATGGAGTAAACAAGGATATGCTTCCTAGACTATAAGTTAATGTACATAAATGTAGTACTAGGGAAAATGAGCAATGCCAGCATCATTTTTAGCAATAATAAAGCTTATCCCCTTACCATGATGGTGTCTAATTAAAAATATAAATGACAATTTGTGTTTTCTTCAAAGCAGTTATTTAATAAAACATTTTCAAAGATTCCTCAATAATTTTCCATATAAAATATCTATTTTCCAAATGAGTTAGCTTTGAAACACATTAAAATTTCATGCAATAGCATCAACTTGATGCCCAAAATTAATGGACCTTAAAATGTTGTGAATTTTACATGAACAGATTTTAAGAAAAGTATCTTCAACTTCTCTAAATGCTTATTTTTCTAAAAAGTATCAACATTTCCTTAACAGATTGCAATTGGATGAATTTGGACAGCAATTTTAAAGCCATAACAAAAGGTTTTTTTTGTCAATATCAATCACGAATTACCTAAAGCTACTAGTGTAGTAGTTAGAAATACAAAGGGAGGAAAGGAGGAAGTTGTATCACTGAAAAGTAATTGACTTTTTCTATTTTTTACTCTTTTTAATGTAGTAGTCTTTTTTTATTATTTTCCTATCTTTGTATATTTTCTTTGTATTTATTCTCTTTGTACTTCAACAATTAAATACAGATTATAAAAACAAATTAGCTATAATGTGTGCATTTCAATAAAACAGGGTTTTGGTGGAGAGAAGCACTCAAGAATAGCAAGAGAACATCCAAGTTTGAGGTATTGATTACGTTGCATGTCTAAAACACTCATTCACTCTTGTGCAACAATGCAGTATTTTAAGGCCCAACTACATAAAACAAAATCTGTTGTGCAGATTATGCAACTGGTTACAGCTATTAAAATGGTAACACTGTCTCTTTGTTTAGGCTTGTTGGATATGAATATGATTTTCTGTAAGATCAGAATAAGCAATTTTTAGGAAGCTGATGGCAGTTTAGGCAAATGTTTCAAAGCATTCCAGATAATATTGTTATGATGCAATGTAAGACATGCAAAATTTGAAATAATTCTAATCCTAATCCAAGCATAATGTTTAATTATCTATGACCTTAATTATCAAGCATGTGATGGTAGTTTTTAATCAAGAGATAATAGTTAAAAAATAAAAACAGGTTTCACTATAACAAGACATGCTGGAAAATGCAATTTCATAGGATAATGATTTTACCAAAAATTACTACTGTTGATAATTTTAGTAATATTTGAGCAGTTGATCAAGTATTTATTTTGAGTTTCTCTATTCTGTATTGTATTCTGTATTATTTATAACTTGGATTGAGTGTTCATATTTGGGTAGGTTCCTGTTTGTACACATATTTGGGCACAACTCTAAATAGAAGTTGGAATTATTCAGATTTCTTGTGTTCTTCAGTAACAGAGAGTACTTTTCTTCTCTGATGTAACAGATGAAAATACAGCTGAGGGAAGACTGAAAAACAACAGAATTGGGTAATTAGAAATAAAGAGTTTTATATATGCACATTTTGATTAGTTTCATATATTCAAAGGCTCTCACACAAAGACATTGGTATCTCAAAAGTTGCATTTTTGGTCCCTTTCAATATATCAGGGTAAAAAACTACCCAGGAAACACTAATTAGCTAAACAGTTTGTCTTTGGACACCTTTCATTTCAATATTCAATTAATTGCATTTTTCCTCTATGACAGACTATAATATGCTTAAAGTACAAGCAATACTTAGTCCTAGTATACCCTGCAGAAGTTATTTAATTAATAAAACAAGTCAAATCAAAAAGAAAATGATAGCTACTAGTTTCAATATTCAGAAGTTAAACTGTCCTTCTTTCCTCTACTTCCTTTTCTTTCCATTATTCACTTTTCTTTGGACACTGTAAATATACCCTTCTTTCAAAAAAAATCAGTATCTCACAAAAACAATTATCTCATTCTTGATGTAACAGCTGCAGAAAGTTTCTGTTCAAATAGTTTCTGCTTCTTCCCATGAAAAAGCACTGCTTTGATAAGATTTATGCTTCAATTACAGCACAATACAATAAAAATGCTGCTGTCTAATATCGTATCTTCTTCTTTTATGCCTTTGAGACAGTGCTGACTCCTGGGGGTTGCCTTAGAAAGATTTTCAGAGATCGTATCTTCTAGTAACAGAAACATTAAATTTGCAACTTTTGTTGTTCAATCAGTGCACCGATTTCTTTCTAAATCTAGGAAAACAGATGACAATGGGCTAATCCTCCTGATTCTGATATGGACTGCTTACTAAGGGCACATCTTCAAAGAGCAGGTCCCACCTTGCTGCCAGTTGCTTTTGAAGAAGAATGAAGTGAAATCAAGTGGTCCAGCAGAAAAGAGATGTTCCGCTAGGAACAAGGGCATGGGGCTACCCTTGAGGAGCATTTGGAAGCTACAATTGGTCCAAAATGCAGCAGCGCAGAAAATTTCGGAGGACTCTAGTGTGGCACATGAAACACTACTCTTAAGTGGGTTGCACCAGTTACTGATCTGTCCCTGGGTGCAATTCAAAAAGTGTTGGTTACTACCTTTAAAGCCCTTTGTAGTGTGGGTCCAGCATACCTGCGGAATTGACTTTCCCTGATGGGATTCGCCCATCCCATTTGTACTGGCAGAAGAGGCTACTACAGATCCCGTCAGCCAAGGCATTCCACTTGGTGAGATCCAAGAAAAGAGCTTTTTCTGCCATGGCTCCTGCTCTTTGGAACATCTTGCCATAGGAGGTAAGACCTGTTCCTCTCTTTTATCCTTCAGGAAAGTCCTTAAAAGCTGGCTCTGCAGACTGGCATGGGGCTTGTAGACTGGTCTCTCTAAAAACTGTTTTGTTTTGTTTTTTGCACAAGCGCTTTACTTGGTAAGTGTTACACAGCCCACTGCCTCATTCCACTCTGCCAATCTCAAGCATTGTGTAACCTGTCCCAGCCTTCCACAAAGCCTGTCCCCTTCCTTTTTCCACAATGGAAAGCCACCCTCATGCTCCCTTAATGGTGACTTTCCTTGGCCACCCTCAAGGGAGTATGTGCATGGATGGGGAGTCGGGTCTCCAACTATAGGGAGAACAGTCTTGCAAAGCTGTTGTTTCTGGTGAACAAGAGAAAAGCAAAAACATCACTTCAAACAGTTCAATTGTTATAGTTGGGTAACATTATAAGTTGATATATTTTTTATTTAACTTGATATTTATTCTATCACACCAGGATGGCCATGAGGGAAGGAGGGAGACATTCTTGATGTCATCCAGAAATAGGTAATAAACGCCTGCTGGACAGTGCTGCCTTTAATAGCAGCAGCAGGAGCTGCTGCTTACTCACCCTTGAGGCATGAGGTAAAAATAATGTGGTTTTTTTTTGGGGGGGGGCATCAGTTTTGAAAAGGAGATGCTTTCCTGGCTTTTCAATGGTGGAAGGGAAAAACCATAAATGAGGCTGCGAGGAAGAGCCCAATGTGAAATCTGCGTAGCCCAGCTAATGTGGAAAGTTGCCAGAACAAAATGCAGGAAAGAGAGATTTAGTGAAGAATTTTGTATATTTAACAGATGTGTAGATTTTCCATGCAGGGCTGACAGTTCTGAGCTTAAGCAGGTGATCATTATAACAACTGTTGCAGAAACCCCCTTCACAGGAACTGTATATTTATGTTCACTGTGGTAATCTTAAACATGCAAGAGCCAAGGTGGCGCAGTGGTTAGAGTGCAGTACTGCAGGCCACTTCAGCTGACTGCTAACTGCAATTCGGCGGTTCAAATCTCACCGGCTCAGGGTTGACTCAGCCTTCCATCCTTCCGAGGTGGGTAAAATGAGGACCCAGACTGTGGGGGCAATAATGCTGACTTTGTAAACCACTTAGAGAGGGCTGAAAACCCTATGAAGCAGTATATAAGTCGAACTGCTATTGCTATTGCTACATAGTCATACAGGTTGGTGTAATGGTTAAGAGGCAGAACTGGGATTACTAGTTGATTTTCAACCAGAGAACCTTATTGGATGATTGGGGTGTATTTTCCACATAGAATTCTATTATGGGACAACTCCCAGAAGTCAGGTCTGAAAATTATCCTGCCAGCTTTTTTGCAAGAATACCAACACACAAAATCTTTAACTGCAAAAGATTACAAATATTTTGAAATTGTTTTAGATACACATGAGGCAAGAAAATATGAACTGAATTTGCACTTACTTGGAATGTAAACAAGTATAACCAGGATCAGAAATGTGTAGTAGTCAAATGAAAAATTATATTTGTTAGGTAAACTAATAGAAAATAAACCAGATCGCTTGACAAAGGGCAGAGCAGCATACACTGTGAGCATTTCTCCAGTAACTCCCATTGGATATAGTATGATGAATAAAGTATACCTACAAAAACAAAACAAATATTCACATAGAGATAAAAGTCAGAGAGGCAATTCTAGACATACTTATTGAAATTTCAACGACTTAAAGATACCCCCATTTCATAACCAAATCATTATAAAATTTCTTATAATTGATTAATTATACCTTGTTTGAGGATAAAATATTCAAAGTTAAATTTAATAAACTGCATTTTTTTCATTTCTAGGAATTCAGGGTATAATCTAATACATATTTACTTGGATAAACTTTCATTAAAAACACTGGGAACCTCTAGAACAAAAACAGAACTGCTTCATAAGTATAGATTGTTGCTTCAGTAGGATTCTGCAAAGGATTTCCTGGACATTTCCTTAATCAAAAATAGCAAGACAGTTGAAAGAGGGGACAAACAAAGAAAAGGGGGAGAGAGAGACATATGAAGACAAATTAAAGAGCCATTTGACAGGTTAAAAATAAATGAAAGGAAAAGGAGTCCAGTATATAGAAAAGAAAAACGGGTGGTCCTTGAGAAAAGTTAACTCTTCTGCAAATAAGTAAGGGATACTTTTAAATAGAAACAGCTTGGAAACTACAGCACACTAACTGGCTATATGCTTATGTGCTTTACCAATTATTACTGCAAAATAAAAATGCAATTGCTCATCAACTAGTTCTCTGAATATGCAAAAGAAAGAAAATAATGCCCCCTCCATGCACTCTTCTCCCCCCCCCAAGTATTCATGCACATGCCTTATTAAGCAAAATGGATCCAATTCTATTGACTTTCTTCCTTTGCAAGCACATAAAACAGCAACAATCCTAATGCCCCTTCTCCTATCTTATACTTAATTGTAGGAAACTGAAAGGGGAGCAAAGGGTGTTTTGAAACCCAATCAAAACACGACTTCTCCAAGTCCTACAGCACCCAGATGTTCTTAATGATCTTCAAAGTCAGAGCAATTCTAAGGCAGTCAAACACATTTCCTATGCAAAAGGCTTTAGATGCAAATCATTTCAACTTCAAAACTCCTTATCTGAAATGCTAAATGGGCTGTTCCAATCTTTTTGGAAATATTTTACATTGGAATAGAGGTAGTCCTCAAGTTATGATGGCAATTGGGACTGATCTTGCTAAGTGACATGATTATAAAGTGCAACAACACATGACCATGTTACTTAGTAACAGTATTTTGGGCCGTCCTGGTTGCCATTATTAAGTGAGGACCTCATGTGACCGAGTCTTCTGATTTCCTGCTGGCTTTCCCACTGACTTTATTCGTAGAAAACCAGCAAGAAATGTCAGAAATCAAGATCACATTACTGTGGCTAACGGCAATCTTGTAATCACAAACCAGGTACTCAGTGCCAAAATCATAATCATGTGAGCATGTGGATGCTATAATGGCCAGTACCCAAGAAGCGATTGCAACTTCTTGTTCAGCACTGTGGCAAGTTTAAATGGTTGTTGGATGAATGGTTGTAGTCTGAGGACGCTCTGCTCCTGAGCTTGAAACATTACATTACAAAATATTTAGAATATTTAAACATTTCACATCTGAAACAGTATTTCCATGCTCAAAATAGGTCCTTCAAATCCAAATGCTTTTCATTAAATTCTTTCCTTACATAAAGTACCTAGTGTCTGTTTCTCTTCTGCTTCATTGAGCTACTGTTTCTTAAACTGATAATTATTAAGTATTTAATCACCTTACCTGGCCCACTTGATAAAATAAGGAAGATGGTTCAGTAAACTAAATGTGTAGAAAGAGTAACGGACGATCTCTGTGATCGTCCAGGCGACGACAAAAAGAAGGATGCTATCTTCACTTTGCACCTATAAAAGATAAATGCTGCTGTTGAAAGTGGGAAATAAATTATATATCTAATCTAAAATATCAATCCGTGCTTATATTCTTTCACCCCAAGCATGTGAATCATACCATACAAATCAGGCAACATGAGGCTTCGGCATAACCATCCTTCCAATGATTTCAAGCTTTGCACATATAATCACACAGATTCATTCTTCATTATTGTTTAAAAGCCATCTCAATTCTCCCTCCAGAACAGACTACAGGAAAGTGGTAGGTTTAAATTGATTTTTGCCTCCCCCATTAATAAACACTGAAACGGAGTCTTTTAGAAAATAAGAAATGTTGCACACATGATTCTTCGTTTTTAAAATACCAACTTCTGATTTGTGCTATTACTCTAAAATGAAATAATTAAAAGACAGCAAATTCAGCAGAAAGAAGGAGTCTATGTAATGCATTGTTGTAAAAAATTCTGGGTGACTTCAGAGGGGTGACTTCAACACAGCTCCTAGCTCTACCAGTCAAAAGATACTGGATGGCTATTCTGTATTTGTTTAACTGATTTTCTATAATAAGAAAAGAAAGAAATTGGATGAATAAAAGGAGGGTTCAAGTAGAAACATTCTTAAGAATCCCTGTAAAACTTTGATTTAGAGGCAATTAAATAATAAAAGCTTCATCTGGAAACTATTTCGGTTGTATTATAGAAAAGGATAAAGATTAGGAGAAAATTACATCTTTGGACTCGACGTCAGTAACATTTATTATCTTTTGGGAATTGCTGCACATTCAGATGCAATGGCTCAGGTGTACAAAAAAATTGCATCATTTCACAAATGCATGATTCACTTAACTGTAGTGATTTGCTTAACAGCCATGGCAAAATTAAGAACACGGGGGCAGAATTTCAGAAGGAGGGATGTTCAAAAGTAATATTTAGATTTTAGATTTTATTAACATTTGTAGGCCGCCCTTTTCCCTGAGGGGACTCAGGGCGGCTCACATAAAATCAGGGAGGGGAAATACAACGATGACATAGACACATATCATAAAGTATTACAATTACTTCATAGACAGTGGTGGAAGCTTGGAACCAACTTCCAGCAGAGGTAGTCAGTCAGTCACTAGTAACTGAGTTAAAACATTCTTCTGATAAACATATGTCCATCATCTGGTAAAAATTAAAAATAAATAAAACATTAAAAATAATTAATTAAAAAGAAAACAGACTTGTGTCAGGGTTCCAAGTAACATCCCTAATGAAAGAAGACTCTGAGGCTTGAGTTTCCTCAAAGTTCCATTTTATTAGAGATGTCACATTGGCACATCAGGGAAAACCCGAATCTGAAAGTTTCTAGGTTTTCCCCACCAAAACAAAAGTTCAAGTCCCTGCCCAGCACCCACATGTCCATCACATGTTCCAATCCCAACTGGAGATGCCTCCCAGTCATGCCATTCCAGGTGCAGGGCAAGATATCCTTGACTCTCTGAGAAATAAATGTTATTTTGACTAAATCTATCCCACTCCATATAATCCCCCTCCCCAGTTTCCCATAGCAATAAATGTAGCAGGCCTGAAGGCCCAATGCAAAAAATGGCTTCCAGGCCTGACAATTTGATAGACTGCTAGGTTTTTTTCTGTTGCAAGTTTTCTATGTTTCTAAAAAAAAGGTTGCAAAATGAGACATGACTCACTTAATAACTGCTTTGCTGAACAATTGAAATTCTGGTCCTGATTGTTTATTGTAGGACTACTTGTATTGAAACTCTCCTGCAGGGAACCTTAACCATGTTACCTTAACCAAGGTAAGAGAGCCAAGGTGGCGCAGTGGTTAAATGCAGCACTGCAGGCTACTGCTAGATCAGCAGTTCAGCGGTTCAAATCTCACCGGCTCAGGGTTGACTCAGCCTTCCATCCTTCCGAGGTGGGTAAAATGAGGACCCAGATTGTTGGGGGCAATATGCTGACTCTCTGTAAACCGCTTAGAGAGGGCTGAAAGCCCTATGAAGCGGTATATAAGTCTACTGCTATTGCTAAAACCATGTTCTTTGTTATGGTCTCTGTAACATACATATGAGGAATCAGCCAGATAATCTATCAGAAAGAAGGGGACAGCTAAAATAAAAACTGGGGTGGGGGAGGAGTGAGCCTTGCCAATCCCATCTTGTTGAAATTGAAAGTTCAATTGATACTGCCAAATTAATTAGGAAGGCTGAAACTAGGAGAATAAATGAAAGATCTTGGATAAAAGCGTGCTCCCACAAAAAACTGCTAAGATGAGCAAACCTATGTTATATAATGAAGTCTCATTAATTGTTTTAATGTTCAGTATTTCTACATGAATATGACCTAAAACATGAATATTGAAAATTCAAATAGGTTCATAAACTTTTAAGCACCACTGTAAGTGGCCTCGAACTTTTATAGTCACTTAACTGAGATCAAAGAAAGGATTAAGAGCTGCCATCACTCTTCTTCAAAAACACTGAAATGAAACTGAAATACCTTGCTTTGTGCTAACATAGGAAATGAACAAATGTGGGATTCTTTTAGAAAGGATATGTTTCTGCTGAAGCAAAATGCAACAGACTTCCTAGTGTCAAGGGCATGCAAAAAATGCTGAAGGAGAGGTGTAGATCTATGAAAAAAAACCAGTTATTCGTGTAGATGACATTCTGACACTCCTTTATGCAAAAGGGAAACAACTGGTCATTTAGTCCATGTTTTAAAAAAAATCAAAATTAGAGTTGTATGAACAGAAAGGTTTACTGGTACTATATGTCATTCCAACATGGAGAGAAGGCAAAGCAATCTTGCAAGTTTATTATGTCTCAATAAAGTATCATTCTACTCTCCCTGAGAAGTCTGTTTCCTGATCTACCTTGTAAGGTTGACATCAATTTGGTAGACCAGATTATGTTTTACTTCAGGAGCTTGCCTGTGTATCTTCTCTTATGGTCTTGTTTCCCTGGGATTTAGGGAATGTTTTAGCCCTCTTTGTTTATGTAATTGTTGTCTGTTTCTCTCAAGACTCCCTCACTGATTCTTGGACAGCTCTCCCTCTGAAATAGATTCAATATGGAAGATATTTGGGGAATAGAATTTACAGCTGGTTATCTCACCAATGCATTCTGATAGTACAGAATAAGAGGAATGGAAGAAAGAATTGAGGGAGGAACCTTATCACTTAGTACCAATAAAATTGGGTTGAAGAAGAGTGTTCTAAGGTAATAATTGGCTGATGCAGACAAAACACCACTATATAGACTCTACCAGGGCAGAGAAGATGAATGGGATTGTTCTCTCTATGAAAAATAGCTCAAATGACATCATACAAGTAACCATGTGATAATGTTTGAATAAAGAACAATGCTTTACGATTGGCTTCTGTGCTAGAAAAGAACAGTCAATGATTCTACTTTTCAAAAGAATACTCTGCCTAAAGTGATCAATATTTTATATCAATGATATTGCTGTTAATAATATAAAAAGAAACTTCAGTTTAAGGAGACACCTGCGTTTTCAGAAATATGTCAATTAGCAAATTACAGGTTCTAATTTCTTGCAGTGTTAAATACATTGATTGTAGTATCATTTCATTAACTTTGCATCAGGCAGAGAGAAGAGACTGATATCCCTCACTTTGCTAGTATTTACTGAAAAAGCTTTGATTTGCACTTAAATCTTCCCTCTGTGCTATTATTTTTTTTTAAAAAAACTTCATACAAGACTGCAGACAGTACATTTCATGTCCTATTAGACTCTCATAAGTATTTTATCTTATGTCAACTACTGCCACCTACTGGGCATATGATAAACACTATTTTGCATTCCATTCTTCCAATGACAAGATTCTTCCAATGACAAGAGTAATGAACTAAACAATGGCTACTCAAGATCAGTTAATGACTGGAAAACCATTTTCAGCATCATTCAAAACTAATAGAGTATTGGAGCTACTATAAATAATTAATGCTGCTATACTAACAAATAATTCATAGCTTAAAATGAAACACAGCTATCCCTCCATCTACAATCAATAGTTGGTTTATTTCTCTCCAATATCAGGTAAACAAATATTCTTTCTTTCAAAAATAGTCCTCAGTAAGGAATTCTTTCTTTCAAAAATAGTCCTCAGTAAGGAATTCATTCTTTACTGTTGCACAAATAAAGAAAAACAATAAATCTATCAAAATTTAAACATATTTATTTATTTTACTTATTTCTATTCTGATTTTTTAAAAAACCTAGTGGCTTACACCAGAGGTTCCCAACATGGGGCCCAGGCCCCACAGTGGGGCAATTTGAACCTTGTTTAAAGAAAGTTAATAGCCTTTTAGATTCCCTCCCTGTGAGTAGAGTTCACTTTTTGAGAAAAGTAAAAATTATATGTTTATATTTATACAAACCAGTTAAAACATCTATAGCACAAAATTCTCAGTAAGAACAATAAAACAGTACCCACCAAATATAAGAATGAACATAATAAAAATAGTAGTTTCAAATTGTGTGATAAAATCAGGGGAAGGATCTCCAAAACAATTCTGTCTTTAGTAGCTTCCAAAATGTCAACTGGGAGGGGGTTAGCCTAATCTCTGCTGGGAAGCTGTTGCACAATATTGGTGCTGTCAAAGAAAGGCAGAACCCTCCCATTCTCAAAAATATCTCTCTTTGGTCAGTTCGGGCCAGTAGTGGTTGGAGTAGGTGATCATATAGCTATTGTGTTGTAAATAATAAAGGGCTTTAGAGGTTAAAACTAACACCTTAAATTGTATCTGGAAAACTATTGGGAAAACTTTGTCTTATTTGCTGATGATATTGGAACACATGAAGTATACTGCTCATTTTGGACCAACTTTGGACTAACTTAAAGTAGTCTTTAAGGCCTAAGAGTCCATTATACTCATCCAATCCAACTGGATGGTGATGATAAGCTCTATTTAGGTGCTCCTGCTACAGGTAGGATCACAAATGATACACTAGCTAGAGCCATGAGTCCAGAAGGTATCAATTCATGAACTTGCTCTCTCTGATAGGTTGTGTTTGCTCATCAAGAAACACTTCTGATGGTGACAGAGAATCTTAATGTATCAACACCAACTCTGACTTGCCATGATCGCACTTCAGTCTATTCTCTCATCCCAGATTCCCATAGCCTACAGGAACTGGTAAGTAACATTACCAGTATCTCTTTCTCAATTGATACTAAGCATCAAACCATCAGATGATCTCTCCCAGCCGATTCATGTAGATGTTAAATAGCAGGGGACAGAGGGATGACCTCAGTCTAGAGCAGCGCTTCTTAACCTGTGGGTCGGGACCCTTTGGGGATCGAACGATCCTTTCATAGGGGTCGCCTAAGATCATTGGAAAACACATATTTTTGAAAAAATATGGAAAACATAAAATAATTTTATGGTTGGGGGTCACCATAACATGAGGAACTGTATTAAAGGGTCACGGCATTAGGAAGGTTGAGACCCACTGGTCTAGAGCATCTACACAACAAAGGTCACTCAGCTAGACTCTCCTCCCCCACCATCACAGGTTGGAACTGTCCACTGAGGAAGAAAAAGAACCAAAAGAAACAACACCTATCCCAAATGTTTGCAGACAGTCCAATAAGATATCATGATTGATGGTATTAAAAACTGCTGCTAGTTCCAATAAATCAGGAGGGATAGATTACCCCCATTCAAGTCCTGACAAAGCTCTTCTAAGAGAGTGGCCAATGTTGCCTCAATACTAAACCTGGAAGCAGTACCCTGAATGAAAAAGTTCAGGTAATCTTCAAGAGAGCTGCAAACTTGTTCTGCTAACATCAGCTCAATAACTCCCACAAAAAAAGTCTCATCCATATTATTCCATATTATTATTAGAGACAATAATCTTAGCATTGCAAACTTTCAACATGCGTAGCCATGACTGGAAGTTTTGCTCAATAACATTTGAAAGGGAGATTCATTTGCTTTTTGAGTCTTTCAGCAATACCAAGTTATTTATATATTTATATATTATTTATATATTTATATATTTATATATTTATATTATATATATATTGCTAAGAAGATTAGTTGTCAAGGTATGGATTAAACTAGATTAAATTGGTGAAATCTCAGTTTTTAAAACTGAGTATAGAGATCACTGGGTTCATTCTGCCATGTACATCATAAATTGCCCATCAAAATAATACGCAGAAAGCTAATGACATATCAGTGTTCTGAATAAGAGCTTTATAGTACTGGACACCAAGCTTTTCCCACCAACTAAAGAATCTGAGAATAATGTAAAGATATTAAAGTTAACACATCAAGGAAACAAAATATACCGAAGTCTGATTAACTACTAGTTTGCAATACCCTTGAATGTTGGCATATTGTCTTCAATCTGACATACAAAGTTTTGGCTTTAATTCACATTTGCTTGCCATACTGATTTAAAGGGAAATCATACAAGGCACCCCTATCTTTGAGTCACTTATCTTTCCTAATGAAAAGTAAGAAAACAGGATTTAAATTAAAGATTTGGCAGGTTTTTCCTCTTGAATTCAACTTTTGAAAGAGGGAGGAAAGACAGGCGAAGTTAACAATGTTATCCTCTTAGTAGAAAAAGCACATTCTTCAGGCATCATTGGACTCATGCAATTAATATTAGCACTAAAAATCATCCAAGAAAACATTAGAAGAACAATCTGCTATCATATATTTGATACCAAAACAGATAATCCCTTCATTAGACTGGCAAATAAGGTAAGATAGTTTTATTTTGTTTGAGAGAAAATTATATTCAAGAGAAATCTGAACAAAATTATTAACTCTCTCACTAAAAGACTTGAAAAAGACATAGAAGATTTATGCAAGAGATCAAACACATGCATCTTACAACATCCTCAATAGTTGAACTTGTTCAAAGAACTCAGGTATGTAGACAGCCTTTCAAAAGAAATGTAGAATGCTTTCGTAACAATGCAAGTAACTATTTTTTCAAAGAAAACAATACATCCTTTCAACTAGCTTGGGCTGCTTAGATAATCAATAAAATTACACTTACAGCTACAATTTTAATTTTGGATGTTTGTGTTCTATTTTTAAGTTCCTACTTTGCTATAGTTAAGAGATTGGGATTATTTCCAATCTTATGTTTAAATTATATTAGAACTACAACTATGTATTCCAATGGAATCTACATTATAACTGCTTAAAGGTTTGAAAAACAGATCCTCTCTCAAGTCTTCCAGCAGTGCTACCTGGAAATTGCAAACTAAATTACTTAAAAATAGATATATTTTCCTTTATATAGTTTTTTAAATTGGGAGCTGCTCAAAATCACTTAGAAAGGTATCTGGCCATACAACCTCAATAAATAATAATGATAACTTTGGATTATGGAAAATTGGTTGCAATAAATGAAACCAATGAAGTAAAAAATGAAACTGTTCACGTGAATGTTGATTGTGCTTTCCAAACAAGGTATTGGATAATGATTCCTAGTTCTCTTCAACCCTACTGAATCTCACTTGAGATATATTAAATGGCAACAAAATAATGTCTACCAAAAATATTCTAAATTACATGTCCAAAGTGTTGAAATATGACATTAAAATCAACAGCACCGAAAAGTTATTTGTTTACTGCATGTCTACATACACATTTGATATCAGCAAAATAGATTATATAGTGATGTCCATAGTGAACAGAGATAGGAGCTTCATGATAAAGGATGAATAAAATAGTTCAATCTCAACTTACCTCTTTTACACTGTGGGCTATGCCCCATGTCAGAAAAACTCTTGACATGATTTGGAAAGCAGTCAAGACAACAGAAGAAGGAACAATCCCTGTAAAGACAATTTAGATTTAATACATTTTTGAGCTCCTAAACTAGGCCTAAAACAGGGCACGAGGGGACGGGGACGACGATGACGACACAACGTTTGTGTGTGTGTCACGTGCATTGCATTTGTTGTTCGACACATGACAACAAAAAGGTTAGCCATCACTGCTATAGCTGAACCTCAAAATATGGCAAACTATGATTTTCAAGTAATAAATTTGCTAAACGCATGACTAGTTTCCCTTCTGATTATCAGATGCCAGAGCTAAAACAACAGAGGATATTATGTCCCATGTGACATACTTGTATGAGATTCTTAGATGCTGGTGCCAAGCACAGAAAGAAACAAATCACCCAGTAAGACAATTAGAACAATAGCCTTTTCAAGTAAACTCGTGTTTATGAAACAGCACTTATCTCAGACAGTAAAGGGACAATGTCATATCTGAATAAATGATGTGAATATTCAACTGCCTGTGTCAGATGAAGGAAATATAAATTTCCCCCCAGAAATTTTATTTTAATGGCACCAATGATTCTTTAGGGACTATAATTAAAATCCAAACATTTCCATTGAAATGTCTGAAGAGCATTAACTAATTAATAACTCTGGAAGAGGCAATATATGAAAGATTTTTCATGTGTAAAACCCATATCTTTCCATAAATTAATATAGTTTAATACTAGTAAAGTGATATCAGTTCTCACCTCTAAACATTTGTGCATATGCAAAGCACTATTTTTAATTCAATTGCATTTCTCTCAATCAACATAATCAAATTTTGCTTTAGATTTTGTCATTGAGTTATTAGATACATACATGTAGAAAGTTTGTTTTTATATAACAAATAATAAAGTATGCTAGGTGTTGGAAGTTCCTAGACATCTGGTGACAAATGGGATACTGTTTTCCAACTGTAATAGATTCAGATATTCAGACCCTTGGCCTGAAGCAGAGATCCTTCATGAAGATCCAGTCCACAACTGCACAAATCTGAGACAGCCAAAAGGCATTGGGTGGGGGTGGGGGGGTGGAGGGAAGAGCAGACTACTATCTATGTGGACTAGACAGAGGTTCAGCATGGCTTATTAAAGGCCATTCTTCCCTTTGGACAATGCTGAGGACAACTTAATTAAAACCCATCTCTTGCCTGTGACTATACTTACCTTATTAACTCTTCCTTCTCCTTTGGATTCCCTTTCTGACTGGTCTCCATCCCTGTTTGCCTATTTGTCCCAGGACAATGATCTCTCCTCAGAGATCCTGCAAAATGACTTTTTCCACCTAACTGAAAGCCTAAGTTTGATTATTTCTAGCCTGGCAGTTGAAATAACATGCTCATTTGCTTTCTGGAAGCCAGGTCAGCTATTTTTTTTTTTTAAAGGCAGGGGGGGTGGAGATCACTTTGACTTTCCTTTGATGAAGCCAGAAGAACAGAAAACTGGATCAAAATTTCAACTTGTAAATAAATAGCTTCAAAATGCTGCATTTTATTTTGGCAAACTTTAATGTTTATACCTAACAGTTGTTCCATAAGCAGTATGAAGCAGAAGTAGGCCAATTTTTATTATTAAACAATTAACACCATAACAAATGCTATATTCAATTCAATATAAACAATAAACATGACGTTGAAATACCTTCAGTTAGTCTGAATATGCAATTCTTACTTTTGAGAAAACAGTTATATTTGCATGTTCAAATGCATGTTTAAAACAAAAATAAGGAAAACCAAATACTGAGAAACTGGATGTATGTCATACTATATATAATTGCTATTCCTTTAAATGACTGACCACAGAATACAAATAGAATTCCCTCCTTGCCTTCCAAGAAAGATATATTAAATATTTAATTAAAAAACTTACCTACTGCACAGTGCACGATCTAAAAAAAGGCAGAAATAATTAAGACTTCTCACATATTTTTCTTTACTACAATACTATAATTTTTCTTTACTACCACAATCATGATTATGACTAAGAGCATTGTTCTTAAATAGTATTTCCACCAGTCATTGTTATCATAACATGTATCTCTTATCTACTCAATAATAATTGTGTGCAACTTTCATCTCACCAATGACTAAATTCTTCATTTACAATTCTCCTGTACTGAGAAGCCACCTTTTAGAAAACTATATTATTAGAGGAAGATTGACTTATCTCTTTTAAAAGAGATTCTGGGGTTCTCAAACATTTATTCTTCCTTGGGTATGTTCATGAAACAATAATCATTGTCAGATTAGAACTTCCTCCATGAAATAAAGCAATCCCTCCTCTGTTGGCATTATTGGGAAGAGGAGTGAGTGACGTGTTGGAAGATCTGGCAGTTATGTGAGCTTCTTTGAGATATCTGAATCACCTTTAAAAATAATTTAATTTTCTCTGATGAACTATCAATAGAATATTTGTTCTTTATACTGTGATTAAAAAAGCATGAAGTCTCTAATTAAACATTTTTACCAAATATGTCAAATGCCTAAACTTTAATTTCAAAGGAAAACACATTCACTTGAACGTAGTAACTTTATTATTTGTCATTCTTTCTTTGTTGCAACTGATATCATTATGCTTCCTATTATGATTATGTTTTATCAATTTTTTTTTTCATTTGACAGAATAAACCTTGCAAAAAGATGATGCATTTAAAAGGGATATTAATTAACTCAGCATTACAATATAGAAATAAGTTGAAATGCCTAGGGTAGTGATAGCAAACCTTTTCGGCTTGGTGTGACAAAAAAAAAAAAAAAATCAGAATCTTGACTCTGGTATCCTGAAGAAAAAAAAAGGTCTCTCCAGACCTCATCTTCAGACTGTCCTTTCGTCTCTGGACCCTTTGGAAATTGAGCTATTTCTGACACCTCAGAGCTATTTGAGTTCCAAAGGGTTCAAAGGCCTCTCCAGACCCTTTGAAAGTCATGTGGGGGGGTTCTGCTCTTGCGAGGCCTCTGGAGCCTCAGGAAATTGTATGAAAATGAGAATGTGCAATTTTTGGATGTTTCGGGCTGCACAAGAGCAAGGCCTTTTTGCACAACCTCCAAAGGATTCCTGAAGCCTGGCATGTCACCACCACCTCTTACATAAATTTCATAGATTTGCCATCATCAGCCTAGGGTTTGAAGACTTTCCCTGAGATACACCTACCTCAAGCAAAGCTCCAGTCTGGAAGAATTTCAAAGGCTTTTCTATTGAATGATAGAGTTTATGATAGCTACCCGTTGCAAGGTATGCTCTGACTAAACCAACTGCTATAACAAGCCACCTAGAAGAAAAAGAGATAGGAAAACACAGTGATGTTTTTATTGAAATAGCAATAGCACTTAGACTTATATACTGCTTCATAGTGCTTTACTAAGTGGTAAAGCCCTCTCTAAGTGGTTCACAGAGTCAGCATATTGCCCCCAGCAATCTGGATCCATGCACTATGAAATATTTTAAGAGTAATATACTCTTCTCAAAATAAGCGATTCAGCATTATATTCCACCGAGACAGAAATATGCTTTACCTGTCTGGTTGCTGAAAAAACTGTGAACTATAGTCTAACAGTTACAACTGCAAAGCTAAAAATGAGCTTCTTTTAAACATTTTAAATAGAAGTAAATAGCACCTGTATTAACTGAAAAATAGGAATAAAACTGAGTCTAAAGCCATTAGGTTTAATCAACTGATAATGATTTGCTCACTTCTCTAACACATAGCTCTCATATGAAGATTACCAATGTCATGCAATGTTGTATGAAGAGCAGAATTAAATATTAAATGTCTCCAAAGAAACAAAGCACAAGTGCACATCATCAAATACATTGTGTTCTACTACTACTTTACTAGCTACTCTTTATTAGGATCCAGTAGATCCAATGAGACTTACCGAGTAATTATATACACTTCAAAGACTCATTTTCTTAGAAAGTTGGCGTTATGCATTGTTTGGTGTTGGTGTTATGCATGTCAGCCTTTTTGGGAAAAAAATCTTGCAGGACCTGGAAATAGGTGAGTGTCTGCAGGCAAAACCTCAGTGGAAACTAGACTGGGAGTTATTTTAATTTAAAATTACTATGTGAATTATTTAGCAATCTCATAATGAACCAGCTTAGTCACATTCATGGTTATTTATGGCAAAGCACGCATATGGGAAATTTAGGAGGCACAATGTTGTGCTGGCTTTAGATTTCTGCACTTTGGAACTTGAATTCTTTCAAAAGATAAGGTTTTAAAGGTATACGGCTCCTGCCTTGAGCAGGCGCTTGACCAGAAGACCTCTGAGGTCCCTTCCAGTCTTATGATTCTATGTTTCTAAAAGCAGAATGTGTTCAGCTGATGTTTGAGATAACATTGCTAGAGAAATCTATTCTACTCAACTTAAAGTGTCACAAAGTTGTTACTGAAACACATCTTTATCTTTAAGAAACATCCACTAATCCCTGGGAAAGTAGAGAGCTCCAGAGGTTTAGAGACAGTTTTGGAATAGATGAAAATGATCTGCAACTTAATACAGACTAGACAGAAACTGATGGTGGGAAAATACATTTTAGCTAGAGCTGTTCATCCAGTTCTGAATGGAGTTGCACTCTTTGGAAGTTCTAGATCATCATTCCGGGTTTTGCAGGAATTACAAGATTGTGGTATCACATGAAAGCTGTGATAATGACTATACTTGTGGAGTTAGGTTCACTAACATGCTTGCAAACATTTCCCATTTAATATCTTCTGGCCTACAGTCGTAATCTGTCCATGAAGTTTCATATCCGATCTTCTTTTCCCTTTAATTAAATAGACTGAATGGAAAACTAGCACGCTGCAAAGTAAAGTACTGGCTTGTAGATTTACCTTTACAACAATTCTTGTATTGGTATTTGTACACAACTGTTTTTTTAAAATAAGAGTAATTACAGTTTCAAATTTTGTTTAGAAATGTCCACCTAACCAGAAAATAAGACAAATAATCAGATAATCGATGCAAGGAAAAACTCTTATGAGAAAACATTGTTCATAATCAATTTTTCTCACTATCATTCTGCTTCTTCAAAAACTATCACTTATTATTATGAAATTTATTTGCTGCCCATCTTGCAATTCAAAGCAACTCTGAGCAGCTTAGTGACTTAATTTTTATATTGTGCATTACATGCATGGATTAGTGGTGCATCAGCATTGAGAAATATCACCTATTTCTCACCATATGCAAATACATCCAAAGCAAATGATAACTTTAGTTGACAAGCAGTTCTATGACAATGATCACTGAGCAACCTCTTGGCTGTTCTTTCTTTTTAGATAGCAATAAGGTGATAGAATAGTGATATGATAGTGTGATACATCCAAAAAAATGGTTGAAAATGACCCTGATTATACCGAAAGACAACCTGCTGACATTTAGAATGGACACACGAGTTCAAAATTCAACCCATACACACCTCATATATTCTGAGTATGTTCTTACCACATGTATGCTCAATCTTGGGAACCTTAATGTTGTATGTACTGTTGTAAAACAGAAATGTGTAATGTACCCCAAACATATCAGATTCAAATAATTGCTTTATTATTATTAGTCCAATAATCATTTGTTAGTGTAATTCTATAGGCAAACAAAAAGAACAAATGTATTTTAACAAACATGGCACATATCTATCTTACATAGTTAAGGTAATGGTTTAAGAAAGTGATGATGAAATAGCCCCAATCAATTTAAGGAGCTAAAAGAAGTTATTCCGCAGATAATCCAAGGCATAATGCAAAACATTGTCATAATTTCTTTGGAAAATGCCAAATGCCCTATGTTAATCAGCATAATACTGCATTTTAGACTTCAAATGCTTTTTAAAAGAAAACCAAGGGCACTACTTATAATTATTTCCAGCTGTTACTGTAAAATCCTAATCCCTCTACTTTTCCCCACCCACCAAAGGTGTGCTTTACCTCTTATGTCTCCATCCTTAGGAAAGGAGTCTGCTATGAGAATTGCTTAAGACTTGCCACAGGTGCAAACTGAGGTGATCACAGCATTTCCCAGAGCCCAAGCTCAGCGCTTCAGCCTCCACAATCACCACCCAGCACAACGAGAACACGCCAAGCCTTGAACATTATTACCCCATTAAAAGCATACATGATGATGCATGACAAGGAAAGCTCTTTGGGGTAGCAAAGCATATTAATTATACAATGGCCTCCCGCTTAGAAATAATATATATATATTTCTTATTCAATCACCAAACTGGGGTCCTCGGTAAGGATCCCAAAGAGAAGAGGCGCCTGCTTATGTGCATCTCCAACCTTTGCCCCGGGTAAAGGCAAAGAAAGGCAGGTTCAAAGGATCAAAAGGCCATTTCGTCCAGGAGAGGGAAGGGAGAGAAGCCAGGGGAGGCAGAGGGCCGCCGGGTTCCCCCAGAAGCGGCCCAACAAACGCCCTCCTTCCGCGCCCCGAAGACGAGCCCACCCACCCGCCAAGAGTGCGCCGGCGCTCGCTCACCCTGCTGTCATGACCACGTTATAAAGGACTAGATAGGCCGTTGCTAAAGCGCCGGGGCCTCTCCGCCCCCGGCCGCCGGCCTGCTGAAGCTGCGGGCTCCTGCTCTCGGAGCCGCTCTCTGACCGGCGGCCGCTCCCGCTGCAGCTGCCGGAGATCGCCATGGCGCCGTTTCAACTGCTTCCCCTGTGCCGGGAGAGCGCGAGGCCAGGCGCGCGAGGCGGAGCTTGAGCGAGGCGGCCGCCCAGGAGGGCCTCGCCTCCCGCGGCGTCACGCGGGCTCGCCTGGGGAGATAGGGAGAGGGGGAATGGGGCCGCCTGGTCTGAGAAGAGCGGCCGAAGGCTGAGCGGCTGCATCGGGAGCCTGCACGAAGAGCGCCGCGTACCTAAGCAGCCGACCGCAGCAGCGCTGTAAATCCTCGCCGTGCGTTTAGGCTGGCTCAGCAAACCGCATTCTTCACCCCCGTTTGACTCGGATTCGTCCTTCCTTACGACCTTTCCGGCGTCTGTCATTGGACCCTATTTAGTGGACCAATAAGTAACAGAATAACAGAAGGGTTGGAAGGGACCTTGGAGATCTTCTAGTCCAACCCCTGCTCGGGCAGAAAATCCTATACCTTTTTGAGAAAAATGGGTCTCTTCTTGAAAACTTCCAATGGAGGCAAGCCTCACCAGATCCGATATTTTTTTTTAAAAAGAGAAATAATACTTTATCTATTGATGTCTTTGTTTATTAAATGTATGTGCCATCCATCTCTCTTTGCAAAGTGACTCTTGAATGGCAATTGTAAATATTAAAAATATTTGTAGTAGACTTTGCCTGTCTTCCAGGTCTCCCTGATAAGATAGAAACAAGGTGACTCCACTAATTTGCTACAAGGCTGTTATGAATGGACTGGTTTCTCTTGGGTGAGAGCCAGAGACTCTGACAAGTGGTGAAGCTATAATGCCATGGGATGCCTGGCTTTTCCCAGGGATGATGGTGAGGACAATAGGAGGTTCCTTGTCTTTGATCTTCAAGGATTTGGTTTTGGGGATCAAGTTTCAGGGGCCCCTGTGAATTATCTGGATCCTTTTCAGTCAGGATTTAGACCCAGGTATGGGATGGAAACAGTATTTATCCTATTTTGGATAATATCTAGCATAGGCAGGATGGAGGTTGCCTATTGACCTCTCAGCAGCTTTCAGTGGACTGGCTCAGGGGATTGGGGTGGGCTGTCTGGTTACCTGGTTTGTCTATTTGTGGTCAATTATGGAAAGTGGCAATTAGGAAGGAGAGGCCCACCCTTGGCCACTACTATATGTGGTGCCACATGGTTGAGTGATCTTCCTTTCTTATTGAACATTTCTTTACATGAGGCTGTTTGGTGAACTTGTCCTTTGCCATGGGGTGAGTTATCATGAGCATGCAGAATGCGGATATATTCCTGGTGAATTAAATGAAGCCATGAATGTCTTATCCCAATGTCTGGAGGCTACGATGATGGACAAAGGCTTCAGCTGAACTCTGGCAAGAATGAATGGGCCTACTGGTTCTAGGACTATGCCACATCTGGTGTTCATTGTGCTGGCATTGCCCTGATTTAATGGGATATATGAATGACCTTGGGGAAAGAGATGAAGAGATGCTGCCGAGGAAACAATCAGAGAGGGACGAACCCCCAGTAATATAGCAGTCAGAGAATGACACTTAGAAAGGATCTGCCCTAATAGATTGAGCAGTTAAAAATGGAGGCAGTAGTTTGTACTTTCAGAGTTGCAAGATTCTGTCCACATAACCTTACACAATAAAGTAGAATTCATTCATTCAGTCCTGTTTCCTGTCTGGTTTATCTGCGAGGGCTGACATCCAGATAGACTTGGTATACAATTTGAGGGTCCTAGCCCCACAATTCCTACTAAGAAAACAAAAACAAATGGCAGTTGTGGCACCGCTTTGTAATTGTGCACCAGTTGTCCTCTTTCCCGAGTCAGTTGTGCTCACAATCGCTCATGCCCCGGCCACCTTCAGATTGCGAAGGGAGCAGGTTATCTGAAGGACTGTCTCTCCATGACTACATCAGCCTGTCCTATAAAATGGGCAGAGAAGGCATCTTATGGTTATCATCTGCCAGAAATCTACATTTGGTGAGTCACAGGAGGAGGGTCTGCTCTGCTATGGAGCCCTCCCTATTCTCACCTCCAAAGTCAGGTTAGCTCCATCCCTGTTACCATTTAAAAAGTCCCTATATTACCAGGTCTGGGGGACCCAGGGAACCAAATAGCCTAAGGTAATTTCATTGTGATCAATCTCTCTACTGTCCCAGTGTGGTTTGTATATTTTAAATTTTTATAATGCTTTCCATTTTTATATGAATTTTTATATTTCTATAATGATTTTTATATGGTTGTATCGATAGTTGTATGCCACCCAGAGTAGTTTCTTATGAGATGGGAAGATGTATAAATGTGATTAATAAATAAATAACTTTGTGTGACAATAGAGAAGGAGAAAGGAAATCCTCAAAGATTCCCACAGAGAAATCTTGGGATCTTCCCTTTTCTGTTTGGGAAGTGACAGATTTTATTTAAGGGCTTCCTTTTAAAAGCAACCAAGGAACATGTTTTTCAACTGTCTTACAAGTATAACTGGTTGATGTATGTTAGTACTTCGAATCTGTACCTTTTTTTTTAGAAGGAAGCCCTGTCTAACAAGGCTGTGGATAATTATGTGTGGGAGGCTGTGGATAATTATGTGTGTGCATGTGTGATTGCCCATGTTTAGGAAAGCTCTTGGTTTTATCAGAATTCTATACAGGTTTACTGAGAAGCAAAGTAGTTAGTTTTGCATTGGAATTATGGGATTGCATACCAAGCTTCTTAGTTCCTTCCAGAATTATGTGCTGAAGAAGATAGTCAGGATTCCATGATTTACACTACAATTATACCTATTGTGTGAGTGTGTTTGTGTGAAACTTTAATGCTTTTTCAAAATGTTGACTTAGAAGGACTACTAGTGGAAAAGTCAGGCCTCTGGAATGTCAGTTTGTTGTCCTAATAGCTAATGTCAAATCACATTTCTGTTGGGAAATATTGACATTAAATACCTATGCCTCACAATTCTTGGTTCAATCCAGTGCATGAATAGAAATATCAAGCACTTGAGCATTTTGTCTTCCAAAGAGCACATCTTTCCAGAAATTACGCATTAAGAATTGATGAAACTAAAAAGCTTTCAAACTTTCCCAAACTTTAAATCACATAGAAATACTCTCTGAACTAGTTGTTTTAGTGAAATTTTGCCATTGTTTGTTTATGTTCCCTTTATTGTTTTTATAAAGTGTAAAGTGAGTTGACCTGAGGCAGAATGACTGGCCCAAAGTCACCCACCCAGCTATCATGCCCAAGGTGGGACTAGAATTCACCCTGTCCTGGTTTCTAAATGCTGAATGGACTTTTGATTGGTATTTCTTATATGTTCAAAAAGAGGGATTTGCAGTTATAGTTTAAATCTTGGAATTCCAATCTCAAGAAAAGTATCCATGGAGTAGGAATCAATTTAAGTCTCTGTGCATCAGGGGTGGGTTCCTGCCGGTTCTAACTGGTTCCATAGAAGAGGTTCGTCAAATCTACCGTACTGGTTAGAGGAGGTTCTACTTCGCTTTGCTTTGCCTTCCAGCAGCTTGCTGCTTCCCTCAGGTAAGCAACTAAGCGCAAGAGGGGGCTGTGGCGGTGGCGGGAGGCTGGCGTATGCCACGTGGCTTAAAGGGGGTGGGTGGTGGGAGGCTAGCGTATGCCAGCTCGCTCGTGAAAGCCGTGACGTTCACCATCAACCAACAGGGGAGCCCCTGGGGGGAAAAATTTCATGGCTGATGCTTTGTCCAGACTCCCTCATTACAACTGCTCTAAACTGAGTATTGTTCAGCCTGTCCTTCCCACATCCAGCCTGGCGGCTCCGGTGGTCACTCGCCAGCAGGCACGCTCGAAAGTGGAGGTGCCTCAAGATTTTCTTTCTGACCTCAGACGCGCCCTTCCCCAAGATGACTGGTTCCAGCAGCATCAGGATGAGTGCACAATGAGGGACGATTTACCGTGGATCGGAGCCAAGCTTTACGTCCCAGCCTCTCTTCGTCTCGTCGTCCTCCAACGAGCTCACGATTCTAAGTTGGCGGGTCACTTTGGATTCGTAAAAACGTTGCACCTGGTGACCCTCCTTGAAGAAGGACATTGAACTTTATGTTGCCAGTTGTCCGGTCTGTGCAGCCGCTAAACGGCCACCTGGGAAGCCACAAGGCCTACTTCAATCCGTGGCTTGCCCTGTCGCCCCTTGGAAGGAAATTTCGATGGACTTCATTGTCGAACTTCCTGAGAGCCAGGGGCACACCGTCATTTGGGTGGTTACGGACTTATTTTCAAAACAAGTTCATTTTGTTCCGTGCCACAAGATTCCTTCTGCTAAGGCACTGGCTAAACTCTTCATTTCCCACATTTACCGTTTGCATGGGGTGCCTGATCGCATCATTTCCG